CTGAGCTCACAGATTAGGTTGGACCAGCACCTACCCAAGGTCAGGTCCCGGCCGGCTCCTTTAGCAAGACTGGATGTCCCCGTTCACCTCGAGGGCCACTGGCTCTACCAAGGTGGGACGTGCCTGGGTCCCTGGGCTGGGGCAAGTCTCTGCAAAGCAGAAGTTCTGCAAGGAAGCCTTCATACCAAGAACGGCAGGTTCTGATACTCCAGGCCAAAGTCTCCCCAGCCTCACCTTTCCCTCGGGACAAAGATGCAACTTTGTCCAGGGAGAGCTTGAGGGGCCTTGGTTACCCAGGTAATTGTGTCACTTTGCGTTTTCCTCGCTGGTCAAGACGGGCCGGGTATATACTAAGATGTTCCCATAGTGACTGTGCATGGATCGCTGTTGGCGGCCACCCTACCAGGCAGTCTTTCCGGGGTAGAAGGTCTAAACTGGCTGCAGTTCTTCTTCCTGGACTGGATGTTGTGTTGAGGATGTCGGAAGTAGTTATTTACGCAGGCGTCAGAAAAGGATTTTTAAAAAAAAAGACACGACTTTTCACCTATTCCAGTTTACTTTCTGAACGCTTCGGCCAATTCCACGCTCTTCGGTAACTTACATGTCTGCACTAAAATTTAACTCATTTAAAAAAAAAAAAGCGCTTCCAGCGCGGGGGTAGGACGCCTCCACCCCAGCCACCCCGCCCTCCAGCTCGGGAGCGCGACTCCAGTGTTCTTGCTAAATTTTTCAGAGGAAAGCAAAAGTGACTTCTGATGGGCTTCTCGAGTGGCAGGGGCGGAGAAATGAAACAGAGCCCGCGCTTCAGCCGTGGATTCTCTCTCCCCCCAGGCTGGCCTGGCCTGGGCGCGGAGACTTTCTGGGGAAAGGGCGGAGGGGTGGGGTGGGAATCTAGGTTTCTTCTGAAGAGTAGACACGTGTTCGGAGAAAAGTATTCCGGTTTCTCGAAAGCACCAAAAAGTAGGAATGGAGGAGGCGCTAAACATGGTTTCCAAGGATGCGGATTTGCAAGTTTATGAGAGATTGGGGTGGGTCGGGGCGGGGGGCTTCCCCCACCCAGGCGCGCGAGGACAAGGGTCTTCCATGCTCTTCCTCCGGGGACCCGTGTTGTTGAGTCCAGGAAACCAGTCCTGAACAATCTTGACATTTTACGCCTTTGCAGAATGCAAGGCGCGCGCGGCCGGCAGGCACGCCTCAGGTTAGGTCAAGGGCAGGCTGTGCCCGGCGCGCCCGGGAACGCGACGCCGAGCTGCGGACCGGCGGAGGCGGGAGGGCCCGGCAGTAGCCTCCTCGCCGGCCGGGGGCGCGAGACCCCCTCCGCTGCTGCCCGCGGGCGCAGGGGGCGCACGGCCCCGTGACGCTGAGCCTGGATAAAATATGCCGGGACTGCGCTTCTCAGGCTCGTCAAGGCTGCGGGAGCCTCCCCGAGCCATCATCTTTCGTAATTGCAACCGTCAATCAAGGCTTTAAGACAAAGTCAGAACCGGGAAGGGCGAGCCTGGAGACCGGCCCCGTAGGACGGGAGGTGGAGGCGTGGGGGGCGCGGGGGGAAAGGGGAGCGTAGTCTGCAGGGGAGTAGGGAGCAAGTGGAGTATGTTGGGGGTGTCTGGAGCCGGAGCCGTCTCACTGGGCCTCCGGTCCCCACCAGTTAACTGCCCCGCAGTCGGGGTGGCTTCCTCGGGGCACTCTACTGGGAGGCCGCGGGCGAGAGACATCCCGCGCCGAGGGTGGGAGGCGTTGGCCAGCCGGCCCGGGCTTTGTGATTCCAAGGCGGTGGGTGTATACTTCCGAGAGCGCGGACCCTCCGGGCCTGGACATGTAGACCACCCAGGCCCTGCCCCTCAGCCCCACATCCCCGCCCTTCCGGGCGTCCGCGCGGCCCCCGTCCCCCCGCCTCGCGCTGCGGCCTCTGGCACCTGGAACCATCCCCAGGTAACCTCGGCACCGCGGGCGGGCTGGGCGCCTCCTCCCGGCTCTCTGCTTCCTCCAGGGTGTTCGGGGAGACGCCCAGGCCCATCCCTGGTCACAGGGCGAGCGGGTCCCCGGCTCCGGAGGGGGCCCCCTCCCCCGCGGAATTGAAGGGGCAAGGACCGGAGGGAGTGCGCGAAGCGTGCGCCCGGAGCCGGGCTGGAGCCGGCCTGCCGCCCCTCCCTCCGCGTGCTGCCCAGACCCCACGCGGAGCGCCCCGGGGAAAGATAACCGTGCCCTCGGCTTTCTCCTGCGGGAGGTTTCCTGTCTTGTCCACCAAAGGCGGGGTTTCCACGTCCCCCGGAGGGATCGGCATAGCTCTGGCCCTCGGGACACCCCTCTCCCTCCCCGTTCCCGGAACGAGCCCTCGGGGCCGGGGGTTCTCGGGAAGGGAGGTTTTCTCCGGGTCTGAGGCCTCCTTCGCGTTCGGTGCCCGCTGGGTTCGCAGCTGACCGGGCCGACCCGTCAGCCTGGACACGAGCTTCAAAGCGAGGCGAAACCTTTCCGCTGTTACACTCCTGCGCACCCTTTTAAGAGCCGACTTTAAGAAGCCCTGACCCGGGCCCCGTTTCTGACACTGTCGCCGCTCCCGTTTGTGAGGAGACAAATGCATGCCAGGTGGCTCATGCCAGGCCTGTGGGGAGTGACGAGAGGGGAGAGTGGCCTCCACACCCGTGTGGACTCAGCAGGCCCTCTCTGGGGCTGAGGCTGGGCTCTGAACCTGACCACGACCTTTGCCTGCGGCCAGGTCAGGCACACCTCAAGTCCGGGCAGACACAGTCCCACCGCAACCCGCGGTCCTGTTAGACGTTCTGCATCCTTCTCTCAACCCTCCCAACCTCTTCCTCCTGCTCCAGCAACCGGCGGGCCTTCCTTCCCACACCGGGGGGAGCACTAAAGCCTCCCCACCCCCAGCTGCCAGCTTGGTATTGGTAAGGAGGGCCAAAGTGCCCCCAGATGCTCTCTGCGGTGGGAGGGCTTTGTAATAAACTGATTAAGGGTCCTAATAAACTTATTCTGAAAGTTCATCTGAATCCACAAGCAGCGTGCTAGCATTGATTTGAGTCCTTTCTGAGCTTCATTCACAACGAGGCTTAAAACACCAGGCAATACTGAAAATGGACTGACTGTATGTGATATTGTCACCAAAATCTGAGCATCAGAAGGGTCACTGATGGCGGCAACTGCAACCCACTCCCATTTACCACCTAAGGGGCGGCCTTCTCACCAAGTTTAAAGGTTTTAATGAAACCTGCAGATGCCACTAAAGCTGAGGTCTGAATAACTTAGATTCTGAGTACTGTATGTTAAGCAGCAAAATGACAAGTCAGTTCTGAGAGGCAGCAGCGTGTGAATGGCCAGGCCTGGGGATGTGGTGAGCAACCCATTTCATTCAAAAGTGTAGATTATGCATGGCAGTGATTGGAGTACTTTTCAATTCATCAAATACTGGACTGGCCAGTTTGAGTGTGTGATCTCTGTGCCATTCACATAGAATAAATTCAGAGCCTTTGAGATTCAAATTCACCCCCTTGTGGGTGGACTCTCGGCAGATACTGAATATGAGGCGTTTCACATGCAGTTAGGAGGCTGGGGATAGAGTGTTTTCATCTTGTTGAGATGAGATCTGAAAACTTTGAAGATAGGGCTGGTCTGGTGTGGAAGAGCTCGCATAACAGATGGTTCCTTAAAACTTTTTTTTCAAGTGCTGGGCCTCTGGGCCTCAAGTGGCCCGACCCACCCCAGAGACCTGGGTATGGAAAAGGAAGCCGGCGCTGCTCTTTGCATTCTGTAGGGAAACACGGCTCACTAACATTTTAGGAAGTCTGTCGCTAGCCTGATCTGGGGGCTTGAGGAGGCGGGTGGTGTTTATAAAGTGAGCGAAGGAGCTTGAGGAGACTGGGGGGCTGGGGAGGGCCGTTCGGATTGCCGGCAATTGCGCCAACTCTCGGGGACGCGGCTGTTCCCTCCAGAGCAGGTGGACCGCGCCGCTGGGCCCCTCGCGGGGAGGAGGGGGGGGCGACTGCAGACTCAGTGCCGAGGGGAGTGGGGCCCGGAGACCCTCGAGCGCAGGCCAGCTCTTCTTTTCTCTCTTGGCTTGTTAAGCGCGTTCAACTCCCCCTGCAGCCCCTCACCCGGCGCGCACGGTGGGCGCACCCCCGCAGGCTTCCCCTTTTCGCGCCGACACCTCCAACCAGCTTCTCCTCGGCCGCCGCGCTCAGACAGAGGTCGCCTCTCAGCCGCTCTAAGACCCGCCGCGCGCACATCCCCCGCCCCGGGCCGGGCGGGGTGGGAGGGGGCGAGGCGGGGTGAAGAGGTTGGGGCAGCGAGGGGCCGGGAAGCCTGCGCCTCTTCCTCATTGGCTGGCGCCTGGGGTCCGACCCGAGTCCGGAACCCGCGTCCCCATCCCCTGTCCTCACCCCTCATCCCGGCCTCCCCCGACCCGGTCCTCCTCCCCTCCCTCTCCCCCACCCCCAGCCTCGCCTCCCCGGGACTACAGAGGACCTCTCCCGGACGGGAGTGGACGCGGCGGCGGAGGGAGGCTGGAACTTCCAACTCCACGCCAGAGAGTGAGCGGGAGGGAGGCAGACGCGGGCGAAGGGCAGAGAGGAAACGAGACGGAGGCCAGAGACCGCGCGAGCGGGAGACCCTGCGGATCCCGAGCGGAGGGCGGGGTGCGGGTCGCCGAGCCGAGCCGAGCCGTCCGGGAGCCGCGGCGGCAGCAGCAGCAGCAGCTCGGCCGCCTCCTCCGCTGCGCGCCGGGAGCTCGGCCGGACGCGCCCCCGCGCCCCCGGCAGCTGCGCCCTCGCCGAGCCGGGCCCCCGCGCCCGGACGCGGTCTTCGCTCGGTGTCCGCCGCTTCCTCCTCGCGGTTCGGGGGCGGCTGGGGAGCAGTGCGCCTGGACGGGGCTCCGGGGTCCTGACGGCAGCCCCGGAGGCGGCGGGGGCGCGCTCTAGCGCGCCGGCGAGACAGCAGCCGACCGGTCGCCCCCTCCTTCCCGGCGGAGTTGAAGCCGTGCCGCCCGCGTTCAGGTGCAGGGCTTCCGGACGAACACGGACCCCCTGCACCCGCGCGCGGCCGCCTTGTCATGCTGCCTAAAGTGGAGACGGAAGCCCTGGGACTGGCTCGGTCGCATGGGGACCAGGGGCAGATGCCGGAAAACATGCAAGGTAAGGAGGCGCTCGCGGCGCGCGGCTCCCGCGGCTCCCCCGCCCCCGGCTCGCCCAGCGGGCTGCAGCCGCCGGCCCCGCGCGGGCGCTGAACTGGCCGCCCGGCGCTCGCCGCCGCTGGGCTGCCGGGCGGCGCGCGGGCGTCGGGCCCCCTCCCCAGGGGAAGGCATAAAAGTTTATGGCTCTTGAACAATGCGGGGCGGGGATTTTCCGAGCAATGCCTAATTGGCCGCTTCTAATTAAGAAGAGAGGCTTCGAGGTCCGGCGACCGGAGCCGGGGCAGCCTCAGTCTAGAGATCTATTTATTCCGACGATCCTTCTAAGAAATGGAACTTCTCTCGGGAAGCCCGAGCAGGTTCCCGGTCACTGGAATCGGGGGAACTTGAACCAGTGCTCTTGAGTGCGGAAGAACCCCTTTGCCTGGGAAAGTCAGCTGCAGAACGCGCAGGACCTCGGGGAGAGCTGGCTTAGCGGTGTCAGGACGCCTGGGCACCCTGGCGCACCCGGGGAGTCGGCTGGCATTTGAACAACTTCTTAAAACGGCAGGCAGAACTGGAAAGAACCAGTTGTCTCCAGCCCACCCTCCGGCCGGGCACTGCAGAGTGAGTGCAGGGCGGGGGCGGCAGCTTAGCTTCCAGCCTCTTCGGTCGGATACCTGGGCATCTGAAGTCCCGTTTGTTCCCTAGCTTTTGATTGCTAACAACAAGCGCGCGGGGCGGGGGGGGGGGGGTGGAATGGCAAATTCCGTAGGCTGTATTTTCGCCGCGTTCCAAAAGAAGCGACTCTAGACCTGGCCGTGTTAAGCCCTTCAGAAGTTTATCGCAGTTGCTCGGGGCCAGGGAGGGAACAATGCTAGGAAAAGTCTCCACTGCCCTTCCATCCTCGCCCCCGCCAGCGCGCAGGATGTGCGGGCCGGCGGGCCTGTGATCCCGAGCGCTTCCTGCCATCCCCTCGAGCGAACTTGAAAGGGCCGGGACGCGCCGAGAGCAGAGTTCAGGGCCGGCGCCCATGGCGGTGCGGGAGAGGCGGCGCTGGGCCCGGGGCCTGAGGTCGCCCGGCTGTTTGGAGACGAGGGGGCGGCGGGAGGGCGTGCATCCCCGCCGGTGGGGTCGGTCACGGCTAGAGGATCCTGGGGTCTCGCCCAGCCTCCAGGGAGGGCCGTGGAAGTTCCCGGGGGCCAAGCCCCTGGAGTCTAACCTGTAGGCTGGCCGCCCCGGGCAGGACCCGGTTGGCCCAAAGAGGCTTTCCCGCCGGGCACCTGGGATTCCGCTAAGCGAGCGCAGGCGAAGCGGCCCCGGGGCGCCGCATCGGGCCCCTCGGCCGCCAGCTGCTGGGAAGGATTGTCCCTTGGGCGCCCTCGGGGCCGGCGAGACGCTGGCATCCAAGGGAAAGTTTCTGCTTCTCCTTACCGCGCGCGATTCTGGGCGCCTCGGGGAAAGAAGCGCAGCGAGAAGCTGGAGCAGTAAGTCGGGTGGGGGGGCAGACGGGAGGAAGATAATACTACGGTATTTTCTTTGAAAAATTCGAGAGGGCCGTTCCTGACCCGACCCAGCGCCCCTGAGCAGAGAGCCGGTCTTCCCTGGTGCCTGGGAATCCGGGACGTCGCCGGCTGCTTGCTCAGCCCCTGGGTGGAAAGCTGGTGGGAAGCGCCCGGCGCAGTTTCCTCCAGACCACGCGGCCTGCCGCCCGAGGGGAATCCCTGGGGACGCGGACCCCACGCCCTAGACCCGCTCGGGCCCTGGCCTGCGCCGCGCCGCCGTCCGAACCGTGGGGGGTGGGGGGAAGTGCAGCAAGGGGACCCCCTACCGGGTCCCGGGACGGTTCGGGGAACTCGTCCACGTGCGTCCGCGGCCTCTGCCGTCCCAGGCGCCAGCGTCCCGCTCTGCTTTCTCAAGACCGGGACTTCTTTGCCCGGATGCATTGGATTCTCCGAAGACTCACTCGGGCTACAGCACATGGGCGCCTCTGAAAGATGCCCGGGTCTCGCACCGCGGCCTCGGTCTTGGAATTTTCCAAGAGTGTCCCCAGCCCCGCTCTTTAGGATGTCGGATCCCGAGGTGCGCACCAGGTCCCCTACCTCTCCGCACCGCTCAGGTGCGAAGTGAAGAGTTTACTTTGCTGGGGAAAGGGGGAAGGAGAAAGGCACACATGTGGTGAAGTACACTTTTCCCCTGTCCGAAAACACGCCTGGAGACGACAGTCACGACCTTTTAGGAGGGTGAGCTCTAAACCTCTGGAAACCTCAGCTTCAGCCAAACCCCCAAGTTCCCCAAACGCGAGCGGGGACCTCCCTTGGCCCCGCCGAGAGGACTGCGCTCTGCGTCTTTATTTGTTTCTTGGCGCTCAGACGCCTGCCTCGGCTTTTCCCATCTTTTCGTGGGATCCCCCCTCCCCAAACTCCGGCTAACTCATCCCGATCTACGCCCCAGCCCACGACTCCGTGTCTCGGGAGAGGCTGTCGGTAGGGGGGGGTCAGTCGGGAAGCACGGTTAGGGACCCCCCCCCACCAAAGGCCCTTTCCAGAGGCCCCCAGAATCCGTAGAGAAAACAGAACTGTATTTTAAAAAGAAAAAAAATAAGAACTCTGGCCAGGAGGCCACAGTGGTGATGGAGTGGCCTGGCACTTTGGGGATGGGTGGGGGGCCTATTTCTCCCTTTCCTTTTCGGTAAACAAATCAGAGGAAACTCCTGCCAGCCCTCAGTTCCCCACCCCCCCCCGCCCCGCCCCCTGCAAACGCCACTGATTAACTTAAAACAAACTTGACTGGGGCGATTGTGTGCCTGTGTGTAGCCCAAAGTTGAGCAAGGGGCGAGAGGCAAGTGCGCCCCGCGGTTTCGCGGGAGGTGCCCGGAGGCTTCGGGCGGCGGCCGGGCCGCGCGGACCTGCCCTCGAGGTACCCCCCTGGCGGCGCGCGCTGCGAGGCCCCCCTTGTGTGGATCGAGTCTCCCGGAGAGGCCGGGTCAGGTATTACCTGGGTCTCCCGGCCTCCGCCCCTCCTGCGCAGTTTTTCTCGGCCTTGGAGCTGCGAAGACGCTTTCCCGGGACTGCGTCCGGAGCTGGGTGGTTACCCGATCCCAGCAGGGAGCCGCGCGAAGCCACCGCCTGATTTCTGTTTAACAGGGGAGCTCGAGGTGTTTATATTTTGCAGTGATCATCGGAAACATGTGAAGTTCATTAAAGGGCTTCAATACTTAGCGACGAAACCAAACTCTCGTGTGTATCTTTTGCTTTCCTTCTTTTCCTTTTTTTTTCCTTTCCCTTTCCGTCCGTGCTCCCTCCCTTTTTTTTTCTAGTAATTTTTACAGTAGATTTTCAAGAGTGCAGAGATCAAAGCCCGACTAGTACGTAACTGGGTGTTAGGATTAATCTAACAGCTCTGAACGCTGGGAGCCTCGGGCTGTGGCTGGAATAGGGCTGCTGACAAAGTGTCCGGGGCTTCCAGTTCTCGGTGGAGGTTTGGCGTTGCTTTCACCCAGACACCCTTAAGGCCCGGTGAACTTTGAGCAAACCCCGTTCCAGTGCGAGGATGACGCTGTGTGCTGCTTTCTCTTCCTTAGGAAAAGGTGACGTTTTGGAACTTGTCAGCAAGGCGATTTAAAAGGAATTCTAAGTTCTTTATGCAGTTCGTGTTTCTTTTCTGGATCTCTTGCTTTGCAGAGTTAGGAGACTTGTGTTCAACAGTCAGTTTAAGAATGTTTAACAAAAGAACTTAGAATTATTTTTAAATTAAAATAATGTAAAGTGCTTACTCATTTATGCCCAAAGAGGTTTTACTTCGACTGTAAAAATAACTCTCTGCAGTGCACCTTAAGACATTTTTATTTTTTGTTTTACCTGGTGATGTTTGCCCTCCAGTCCCCAAAACGCTTCCTATTGCAGGATTGAAACCTAGTAAATTAATTGGATGTGTGCATTTCTCCTTTTGTTTCAGTGTCTCAGTTTAAAATGGTGAATTACTCCTATGATGAAGATCTTGAAGAGCTCTGTCCCGTGTGTGGAGATAAAGTGTCTGGGTACCATTATGGGCTCCTCACCTGTGAAAGCTGCAAGGTTTGCTTCTACGTTGCTACCTGAGAAATATAATGTTCAAAACCAAAATAAACCATTGGACTACTTCTTCAAGCTAAATGTAGGCTGTCTTTTTTGGACTCAAAAATGAGAGAGGGAAAGAGTGAGTCTTAGTGAGATGATTCTTAGAAATATGTGTCTGATTTAATCCCCAAAGCAAAGAAATTTATGCTGTTTAGAAAACTTTGCCAGTATCATGACTTTAAAATAGTTTATTGTAGGAAAGTGATGTAGCTGTAGAAAGACTTCTATTTCTAACAGTCCAGAATATTGATTTTGCTTGACTTATATATATTTAAAGCATTGTTGTTCTTGAGAGCCAACATGAAAAAGTATTTCCCAAATACATTTTAACTTTAGAGTATTCTGTGCTACACATCCAAACATTTTTTATCCACAGATATAAAAGTCTAAATTCCCAACTGCATGATTTCATCCTGATTTATTCCAAAAATAATTTTTAAGACTTTTGAAATTTATATCAGAAAGAATAAGATCTTAAGTTTATAATATGAGTAGTTTTAAGTATATGGTGACTTATTTAAAGGCAAGAGTTTTTAATATGTGAGATGTACTGTATTATTACTAATAACATCAACTATACAGTAAGGATTTATCTCAGACTTTTTTCATATATTCTCAGTAAATTTACTACTCCTTATTTTTCAACATTTTTAAAAGTAGAAAACTCAGTAGAATTACTAAACCACTGCCAAGAAAATCTCTCTTTTTTTTCTATAACAAAGTAAGATGGTTTCACTTTGTGGTCAGTAGAGCAAACAAAGAATATACCATCCAAGCAGTTACTGTGTTATAAAGCTACAGATTTTGTTTCTGATTAATTCTTTTGGGTGAAATATAAGGAAGGCATACACTCTGCTAAAACCCAGTTCTCTGCTCTACATGCTTTTTTCCCTTATAAGTTTCACCTTTTTCTTTGCAGTTCCCCAACTTGAGTGTATTCCAATGGAATTATGAACATTTTCTACATTTTTCCATTTTATTCTTTAAATGCTTTTGCTTTTAATTCTTTAGGGCTGACGTTTATAAAAGGTCTGAAGTGTTTTGTTATTTCATTTTTTCCATTGGTATTTTACTATAGTTTGCCACCAAAATTATATCAGACTACTTAAAAATAATTCACCTCTCTAAAAGTGTCTTGTCTGGAACATGAAGTTTAATAAGAAAAAAAAAATTACTGGTCAATATAGCATGTATTTTCTGCTGAATGTTGAGATAAAACGGTGTGTAGACAAAGCTCTCCAAGATTTGATGTGATTCTTGTGAAGTATAACTCTGACGTCAGGAAAATCTCTACCATAGCCTGGTTTTGAAGGGTTGATCTTGTTAAAACGTGAAACAAGCCACAGAACCACATAAGGACTCAAACGGTGCAATGAAAAGATTTACTGGTGATTTCCTTAAAATGAAACAATAGAAAAGATGGGTGTTAGCTTTATAATATGTCTTACTGTTTTCTCTTATAGGGCTTTTTTAAGCGAACAGTCCAGAATAATAAAAGGTACACGTGTATAGAAAACCAGAACTGCCAAATTGACAAAACGCAGAGAAAGCGTTGTCCTTACTGTCGATTTCAAAAATGTCTAAGTGTTGGAATGAAGCTAGAAGGTAAGTTTTTTCTAAAGACTGCTGCCTGTTTAAATTCTCCAAGGACGTAGGATTTAAAACAACATTGTACTTATAACATGGTAACAGTATTTTCCTAGTCTTTTAACACTATTGACAACAATATCTTTTTATGTTTTGTCAGCAGTGTAGTCTGAGTCTCATTTAAAGGCTGGTGAAATCTACTAGGAAAAAAACTTTTAACGTTGGCCTTCCGCCTGCTCACCTCATTTTTTAGCTTGAGAAGCAGATGCATTTCATAGGGTAGATGAAAGCAAGACCAATGTGATTCAAAGGTTTCAAATCAGGATGCCCTAGTAAAAAAGTTTGATTTTAATTTTTTTAAATAGGTACACTTGTAATTGTTACTATTAGTTTCATGATTCCTGAATAAGAGTTAAAACCTTTAATTTATATAAAGAGACTTTTCTCCTTGATAGTATCATTTTTGGTTGTGTGGGAGAGCACCTTTTTTTTAAGACCATGACTGAGCCTGCAAAACTTTAAAAATTTTGAGAATCAGGAAACATGAAAACTGATGAACTGTCTTGTCCGTAGCAGTGGTTTGACGAGAACAAGAGAGTGGTTCCCCCAAAGCCACGCTAAGCTTTATGTTGAAAAAGTAGCATCTGCACGTACGCTGTACAGATTGGAGGAGGTAAAGTTGATATGTGACTGCTGTAAATAACCTGTGGTTCATGGACTGTTATGGTGTGTTGCTGTTTTCCAGTCTCTGACCTACTGACTTTCCACAGATTGCATATACTGTAAATAAAGTAGTAAGAAGGGGTACAGACACCGGAGATGTGCCAGATGCGGGGGCCCATTCCATTTGGTCAGTGAGGCACAGACTAGTTGTTTTGGGGGCTTTTCTGTTGCGTGGCACTCAGACCTGATGGAAATACTCAAAAAATTTCAAATACTCTGCAGAAATTGCTAATAGATTCCTTCCCAATAGAAGTAGCCTCATGGGTTATCCGGGAACTGTGATGAGATTGAGAAAGGATGTAACTGCTTCTTGTCAATTTCTTCATTACCGGTCTCTTTATTATTTTCCAAACAGCAAAACAGTGTGGTAGATGCTTATGATAGTGTGAGACCCAGAAGATTAAATGTTAAAAATTAAATGTTGTGATCGCATAGGATGTCATTGATTCCTTTTTTTTCTTTTTAAACAAAAGGAAAAGGTTGCATTTCTTTACTTTAAAAAGTGTGCTTTCTTAACAGGAAGTCTTTTGCGGTACACGCTCATACTTTGTTCACAGTGAGATGAAACAATCGAATATTCAATAAATGATCATCCAGATGAAAAACTCTGTATTATCTTGTGTGGTATTCTGGGTGCCTAGCATTCACAATAAATTTTTAATGCTGTACTAATCCTAAGATAAAAAGCTCCAGAACTTAACCTCCAGCAATTTCACCATGTCACAAGCTGTCAGAGGTCCCTGTGTCTGGTCTAATTGCCAGTGGTCACTATGAGCTAGCAGAGACCCACTAAGGATATTGCTAGACGTGGCCCCGGACACCACCCAGTATTGTGATGGTGGACCGTTTTGACAGCTTCCGAAATGAATCTGCTTTAGTTAGGTCCAGTTCTGCTTAAATGAAATACAATAACCCGTGGCTACCTGGTGTGTACCCATCAAGTCTGGGTGAGGATGGTTTTCCAAGAAGAGCATGCACCTAGCAATTTTGCAGCAAATTAGCCAAAAGACTTTGAGAGAGGAGGATGTTCTCAGGAGAAACAGTCACAGTTTGATCCAGTCACGGCCCCTTTGATTTTTGGGTGGGGGGCGGGGGGAGTGTGTGCGCCCTTTGAGCAGTTTGCGTTTCCATACAGAGAAGCCCAGCCTCGCCGGCAGGACAGGATCTGATCCTCGTCGTTAGCAACATGGGGCATCCCCCGTGGGCAGCAAAGACTAGGAGTCTCTTCAGTCCACCGAAGGGTTAATAATGTACCCCACATAGCCGAGATATTTTTTTGATGACAAACACACTTGGAGGAAAGAATTCATAAATAAAGAGGACATGGCTTTTGGGGGAATCTCTGAGAGCTATTGTGGTGAAAATAACCACACAGAGACCGCTTCTGGTCCATCTTGAGCCTTTCTAATTATCTGGAGATCTGGACAGTGCTCATGATTTACATCTTATTTATACCCTTACTTCCTTTTTTTTTTTTCATGCCCACACCAACAGCGGTAAGGGCAGACCGAATGCGCGGAGGAAGGAATAAGTTCGGGCCTATGTACAAGAGGGACAGGGCCCTGAAGCAGCAGAAAAAAGCCCTCATCCGAGCCAACGGACTGAAGCTGGAAGCCATGTCTCAGGTGATCCAAGCCATGCCCCCCGAGCTGAGCATCTCCTCTGCGATTCAGAACATCCATTCTGCCTCCAAAGGCCTACCTCTGAACCACGCTGCCTTGCCTCCTGCAGACTATGACCGCAGCCCCTTCGTGACCTCCCCCATCAGCATGACCATGCCCCCTCACGGCAGCCTGCCCGGGTACCAGACCTACGGCCACTTCCCGAGCCGCGCCATCAAGTCTGAGTACCCCGACCCCTACACCAGCTCCCCCGAGTCCGTCATGGGCTACTCCTACGTGGATAGTTACCAGACCAGCTCCCCGGCCAGCATCCCCCACCTCATCCTGGAACTGCTCAAGTGTGAACCCGACGAGCCCCAGGTGCAGGCCAAGATCATGGCCTACCTGCAGCAGGAGCAGGCCAGCCGCAGCAAGCACGAGCGGCTCAGCACGTTCGGGCTCATGTGCAAGATGGCAGACCAGACGCTCTTCTCCATCGTGGAGTGGGCCCGCAGCAGTGTCTTCTTCAGGGAGCTCAAGGTAGGTGCCGGCCGCCGGGGCGCGGGGCTCCGCTTCCCTCCGCGAGGCCCGGCTCTGCCCGCGGCGCAGGGTCTGGGTGCCGCGCGCACGTCGTCCTTCCTTCCTTGTAAAACGGTGTTTCAGACCTTGGCTTCAGAACGGCCGCGGCTTCCCTCTGTGGGCCTGTATTTTCTGCAGCGCTTCGTTTAGGGGTGTGGCATTTAATGTCACATACGGTAAACTTAGTTGGGTTTTTTTTCTGAACAGGAAAAATGCTGTTCCCTTTCCCTTATTATTACCTCATTCCCTCTACCTTGGTTTACGGCTGAAACATTGACGCCAATGTGAAACAGAACACAGTAAACTTTTGAAAAATTACCAAGAAAGGAGCTCGATTATAATGGTGCCAATTTAGAAGGAAAAAATGCCAACTTTCGTTGTGTTTAGATGCTAAAGAGTGCAAGCGGTACCGCTGGTTAAGAGTATCAAGTAGGTATTTACTAGCTGTTTACCTTGACATGAGGTTGGTACATCTCTTGTCTTCGCAGCAGGTTCCGACAGGATGTTTACTGCCTTTGGCTGGGGAATGGGCCCCGTGTGAGTGCCACTCTGCTTGGCTGGGCTTTGGTTCTCATAATCTGTGTCTGTCGTTGATTTTAATGGATTGGTACATTGTAAACACAGGTCCTTGTTTGTACAAGGACCTCTGTTTAACTACATAATTATTTTATTTCCTGAAACTGAAGACTGAATTAATACGGGAGTTGTAACGAAGTTTGGGATCGGAGAGTGACTGCAGAACTACCAATAGTAGTGTTTGGTGGTCAGTGGTTTCATTCTCTGTGTTAAAGACAGAACTGAATTCTGGGCTTGGTTTCTAGTCTGTCTGTTACAAAATCAATTTCTTTGTTACTGTGGCAGCTTCAGACTTTGGGAGGAGGTTTAAAAATCTCTGCAAGGAGGACAGTACAAAGCAGACTTTTCATTTAAAGGTTCTGTCTGAAGTTGTGTGCGTGTGGATGGACGGGAGCGTGGAAACCACAGCTTTCCGTGGCCGCCTTCTCTGGGCACCGTGGTCTGAAACAGAAAAGTTATCTGCATGGACCAGGCGAGTCACTGGGCTGCCGTCCGCCTGCCGTCAGGTCCGGCCCTGCTCCCGGGGCGTCTCTCCCGCGTGTGCAGAGAGCCGATGCTGGGGTTCACACTGGGAGTGAGCAAGGTGCCCTGCTGGCTGCCAGACCAGACCCTCTGGAGTGGAACCCCCCTGGGGTCATCAGGTGCTTATCATCAGAAACAAGCGGCACTTTCCTGATGGTGACCTTGGGTTCGAAACTTTGTCCCTTAAGAGACAGGTAAGGGATTGGAAAATGAAAACGAAAGTGATCGTTCCAGATGCAGCTGACAGGTTAGGAAACGCAGACGGACGGAAGCCTCGCCTTCGCAGAGGGACCCAGCTGGCATTAGATCCTTGCTGCTTAGTAACTGTCTTTGTTGGGCAGGTTGTCAATCTCTGAGCCTTAGTTTTCTAGTCTGTGAAATTATAGGTGTGGTGTTGTAGGGGAGGTAGAGGTATGTAGGGAATAACAATACATCTATTGAGATATTTCAAGGAATAAACGAGACTGTATGGGCAAAGCATCTAGTCCTGGGAACCCAGCATATATTATATACTTAGTGAATCAGTGCTGTTTTAAAATTGTTCTTACTGTTTTATGACATATATATGGAGGCTTCACTTAATACTCTTATATTCAGGAAAAAAAAAAACATGCACCTGTACTCTTTTTAGTTTGATGTTGGAAAGCAGAATTACCATGTGCATGATAGAGAAGTAGAACTGTATAATAGTAATTAATTACTTCCAGTTGAGGACCTCAAACTTGCCAGGCAGTACATTGGGTGTAAGATGGATACAAGGTTGAATAAGACAAAATATTTGCTGTCGAAGACAATTTCATAAATATCTACTTAAAAAAAAAAAAACCTGAATTCGTTTCACAAAATCATGAGGAAAGAAATCATGTGTTATAACTTACATGAAAAAAGAGAAAGTTGTAAAGTGAATATAGAGAACCCCAGCTGGGACTTTAAGAGTGCTAGGAAAGCATGCTCTCCAAATTTCTCTTTTCCTTTCCTTGTTGTTAAATTGTATGAGATTCTTTTCTAGGGCATGAGATTTCATATTTGGTTAAAATATGAACATTTTGGGGAATGGGACATATTAAAGCATTGTGAGTCATTTATAGTGTTGTTTAAGGCATTTATCAGTCTTCTGTGAGAAAATGCTTTAAAGGGAAGGGAGCAGATGCAGAAGCTGGGCTGGCTCCTGTAAAAGGCGGGGGTGACCCCAGGAGAGAAGGACAACTAGACCCTCCTCGCTGTTGGCCTTGGACTTACATTTTCGCAAGAGGTATTGCCCTTGAAGTATTTTTCAGAGGAATGAAAGTTAGAATTCCATAATAACTTAGGGATTGTTTAAATACAGAATTGAGAGGTGACCATTTGTTTCGGAAGAATTCCTTTTCCTTTGTTTATAAATCTACTTTGTGCAAACCAGACCAAGGCGTTTGAAGCCAGCGTGGAGACAATGTGTGCTGCCCTGTATTTCTCCAGGGTAGAGGCTTGCAAACTTTTGAACTAAGGCCCGCAGTAAGAAATATATTCTGCATTGGAACCTGGTGTACCAAACGCACGCACGCACACACACACACTCAGCTGAGCCAAAGTTCCATGAGACAGTACATGCCTTTGTCCATGCCTTGCACTCTGATATTTTCGATTCTATTTTGCTTTAGTCTAATTTATTTCATGCTTTAAAAAAATAATAATAATTCCCAGTCACCACCCCCTGAGCTGATTTCCTGACCCGCTGAGGAGGCAAGCCCAGCAGTCCAGGAGTGGTTGCTCTTGGGCAGGGTCGTGGACCAGTCACCGGGCGTGGTCAACCTGCCCCCACCACGAACACCTCCTGCAAAAGGCCTGCCCCCCCCCCCCGCCCCCGCACCGACCTGGAGGCCTTGCCTCCAGGGCCCCCTGGAGACCTGCAGCCCCGTCTTCCGCCTACCTTCCTGCAAACCTTGTGATTTTAAAATAGCCTTTGGGAAGATTTAGATGGACGGTCACTTTTACACTTTTTTCTTGTTAACTTCACCGTAAATTACCAATCAGGCGGCATACTTATAGAGCAGATTGCTTATACCTCCACAACCCCAACCTGGAAAGGCACACACGTTTGCTCCAGGAGAAGTAATAGGATAATCGGGCAGTTTTGCAAATGACCTCTTGCTCACACTCACAGGACACATCACACTCTCTTCATGGAGAAGAGGGGAATGCGGGTTTCACTTGTTTACTGTCCAAGGGATCAAAAGGGCCAGAGGAAGTCTGGTGGGTTGTTTAGTTACATGGTGCAAGAAAAAGGAAAAGAAACGATATTCTGGTTCCCATTTCAAAATATTGGAATGGGAAAGAGGAAAATTTAACTCCTGTATGTGCATCTTGAAAAACAGCACATGAACAGCAAAAAAGAAAAGAAAAAATGCAATATAGAAACCGTGCAATTTCAGAGCTAGGTGATGGCCGGGAAGAGAGAGTACATCTAAGGGAGCTGTGTTCTTTCCTGTATGAGAGGCAGTTCTGATTTCCGTCCACAGTCGTGGCGTGGGAAAGGTGGATTAGCTGGGGTAGATGTCCGGCCAGCACTGGTGCGTCCAGCGGTCCTCGCCGCCGAGACACCACGGGCTTTCCCGAGCGGGCCGAGGTGGTGGGGGTCCTTAGACTCTAGCCCCTCCGTTTACATGTGGAGAAGCTGAGGCAGGGGGCCTGTGGCCTCCGAGATTATGCAGCTGTCTACCGCAGGGAAGAGCTGGGGGCTGGCCATTCAGATTCCAAGAAGCTGTGCTTCTCCACAGCCTCGCCCCCCCACCCCGCCCCGGACATACCCACGCATGCCCGTGCACACACATTTGCACATGACACACACATGCATATGCACACACACGCACTCAAGCCCCGTAACCTTTGACTCCAGAGATCCACGCCTTTCCCAGTGAAGCCACAGCAGACTTCCTGGTTATCAGAAGTCCATCACTACCACCCAATTACTAAATCACTTATAATCAGCGAGATGGATTTTCTGTGAGCCCAGACCCCTCCCTGGGAGGGAGGGAGTCACTTTAGAAAGCTGCTGCAGTTCTCGCAGGCCACAGGGCCCTCAGCGAACGAAGTGTGTCTTCCATCAGCACTTCTGAGCCCTGGAGGAGGGGCCAGACCCTCTGAGTGCCCCTTCTCTGCCCACCGCCCTCGGGAGGACAGGCGGCCACGTGGGGCTCTGCCCTGCTGTAAAGTGGGTAAGGGAAGTTACGTCCTGGGTCCTGCTGGGTGCCGGCTGCATCAGCCTGGGCTCCTTTCTGTGTGTGTGAAAACAGGCAAGGAAGGGAGCTCAGGACTGTAACCAAGTGGTAGATGGCCATGGATTACCCCAGCCTGACAGCATTTCTGGGGTCAAGCCATATGTTCACTATACCTTCGAATCTTTAAGCTCCACCTGTCTGACGGTGGCCTGTATTCTTGACTTTAACTTGTGTTTTTGGAAATCAAGAGCGAATTCCAGACCCCCTTGCCCAGCATTGCAGCAAGTGCTGTCATCGCAAGTCAAGAAGACGGTGCCCTTTTTCTTCGCTCATTTTTCTCTCATCTGTGTCTTGAGTGTCTCACAAACACAAGAGCAGTGGGCAAGTAATTCCCACTTTGTTGAACAACTAATGAATCTGCAAGATCTGTTTGATCGTCTAATGAGACCAGATGTCTTCCGAGGATTCTGGGAATGGATGGAGAAGAACTTCCCTTCTGTGAATGAGTCTCGTACATGGAGGAATAAAAAAAGTCTAAATTAATCCTAACTGAAACGCATAACTAGTGTTTCTGTGGAAAATAGGGCTCAGAGGCTCGGGGAGTTTGTGCCAAAGGAATTCAGCCACTTTCTCGAAAGCCAGCCGCCCTTTTTTCTCTGCTCTGGTGCG